CTGTCTCTAGTTGTGGCTCTTGTGAGCAGATAAATTCATTAGATACAGCAATTAACACACCACCATGGTTATCCTCAGGTCTGTTCCTGTAGAATACAGACATGTTCAAGTGGTTTGGGAAGTACTCAGAGATATTACAGGAGTTGTCTAACCAGGTCTCAGTTATGACTAAGATATCGGGTTTGGTTTGCTCAACCAGAGTTTCAAGTTGGAGTTTTTTGTTCCTGAGTGATTGAAAGTTTGCATTCACCAGGCGTAGTGGCCTTACATTTGATCTTACTTTGTTCCGGGTCAGAGACTTCGGAGAGGACGCAGCCTGCGGGGCACCAGGGCTATTTTCACTTAGGGGACTGAATGGGTTTGTGTCAGACTCAAAATTAGAAGAGTTGAAAAATGTGGTCGAGAAGTTTGGTAAGCCACAGTTTAGACAGACCCAGGAAACATTGGAGTTCCCTAGGTATGAGTACATGTTGGAGCTGAGACCCTGACAGTCATGATGGAACCAGTAATCACACCTGTCGCAGCAAACCCCTTTATGTTTGAAAGTCACCGCCTTTCCACATGAGCCACATGGGTACTTGGGTGGCCGGGGACCGGGGTTTGTTTCCAAATCGACGGCTTGAGCCATGAGAATGGAACAGAGATAAATAAGACAAAGTCTATCTGATGTTCGAAGGATTTTGGCATGTTTCAGTAGGAGGCCAGTTGGACCAAAGTTGACTTTGTGCCACGTAGGAGGTTCATTGTTGTTTAAACTCGAAACTGGATACCAGGATGGCGGCGCGCTAGCGCCGGTAGGCAACAAACATGGCGCCCCACTTCTACGTACCTTACCTGGGCCATATCCAACAGTTGAGGCCTGAATACTGTTTAATACTAGTAATAAGAAGACAACTGACCTGGAGATCACCAGCGACATGACGGCAGGAGTATACTGGAGGGTTTACACTTACGTGAGTGGACGCCAGCAAGCACTATTGCTGACTATATGTATTTTACAAAAAACAAGGTAAATCTTGTGACTTTTAGTCATGAGAAGTTGTGGTTGTGCATAATGAATACCAGTGAATATGGGGATAGATGCAGTGGATAATGGGAATGAAACATTTCTCCTCTACAATACTAAACTTACCGGTCCGACTCTGTTGCAGGATAGGTTGATGGTGCGAACTGTGGTGTTGGTTGTGAGAACCTGGGACAAGATGGAGGCTGTTGGTTCTGTCATGTTGTTACTGCCAATGTTCAGGTCTGTGAGGGTGGAGTTCTTCAGCAGTGCCCTGCAGATAGCCTGGCCTCCGTCATCGCCAAGGCGATTGAGCCGCAGGTCCAGACACTTCAGGGTGGTGTTTTTGGACACGGCATGTCCGATGGCCTGCGCGCCGGGGGCACCTATCTTGTTATCGCACAGGTTCATCTTGACTATTCTGCTGCGGTTGATGAGCTTGCCGGCGGCGCGTGCTCCGCTGTCCCCGATCATGTTGTGCGAGAGGTCGAGCTCCATCAGCGAGGGGTGGTCCAGGAGGTGGCTGATGAGCACGCGGACCTTGTCGTCGTCCACCTTGCTGCGGCATAGGTGGAACTTCTGCAGGGTCTTGCAGCTCTTGACGGCCTTGGACAGCAGCAGGCAGTCCCGTGTGGTGAACTGGAACAGGTTCCACTCAAAGTTCATCCCACAGTCCTTTACACCATACGTCACGCCAAACTCCTCCAGGTGGGGCAGCTTTTCAAAGACCGGACCAAACTCAAAGTGATCCACTTCAGGCCCGTCCCCCAACTCACTCCCCGTTTCTGAGGTATCGTCATCTCTCTTGGTCTCCTCCTTGATCGGAGGGAGCAGCTGTTTGATGTTGAGTTTCTTGATGTACTCCCCTGACAGCGGTAAGACGTCTGTCACTATGTCCATGTTGCTCCTCTCG